CGCAGCACGACGGAGCGAAAACAGAAAAACAAAAAAAAAAGACATGACCGCCTTAATGAAACCTCCGCCCTGACACCACTGCCGGCCTGAGTTACGAACCCCCTTTTCGAACTCAGGCTGTCGCACAGTCGCCGAAGGCCTGTTTTTCGTGCCTTTAGGAACTCAAAACATGCCGCGGTCGCCATTGTTTCAAAAAAACAACTAAATTTTGGTCTCTCTCTCTCTCTCTCTCTCTGTGTTTCTTTCTTTTTAGGGGTAAGGGTCTCGTTAGACACTCCTAAAAGTTCCTGTTTTTAGGATTTCGTCTTGGTTGCACGCAATCCTAAATCGGACGCGGGAATCGAAAATGTGAAAACGGCGTTAGGACTCGTCCTAAAAGATTTAGGATTCCCCAGCCAAATCGTCCTAAATTTTCCAGTAGCCCCCGACCTACTGAAAAATTTAGGATTCCCGTGTTTCACGGAGTCGGCGCGTCACGAGAATGGCACCGTCGACACGGAGGCGCTGGTCCAGGAGAGGTCCGTCGGGTCTGTGGGCGGACATCGGAGGTTTTCTGCAGGTCGACGACGGCAACGGCCCCCAGCGGTAGCCGTTGGCCGGTGGGGTGGAGCGCGCGGGGCGAAGCGTGGCCTGGCGGGCGGCCGTTGCGGACCGTTGGCTCGAGTGCGGGCAACGGAGGAGTCCCCAGACGTGYGCACGACGACACCCGGAGGCGGCGTGGGCGCCAACGGTCGGTTTTTGAATCACAGGCGCGAACGTTTGTCGTCTTCGCTGCCGGTCGACGGCATATGAAGGTCCAGCGGCCTTGTCCGCGGGCTTGTGAGGAGAAAGTTGAGCAGGACGTCACGTGCAAGGTCGCCTGTCCACGTCGAATTCATGGCAGACATGCAGAGGAGATTGCCTCTGCTGCTTCTCGTTCTGGTGGTCTTCGTCTTTGTCGTCTTCCTCCAAGTGTGCTTGTCGTGCCGACCGTGGAAGCAACGTCGCAAGCGCAGGGCGTCAACGAAAGGCGCTGTGCTTCAAGAGGGACATCCCATGGCGGGCATGCAGGCACGCGCTGTTCCGCCTGCAGGTGAGGGCGGAAGAAAACCTGCGACGACGGAGCCTTCACGGCGGTACGACCCGTCCATGTACAACCATCTGCCGTCGTGGGAGATGCCGCTGCCCCCCTCAGACGAGGAGTCGGAGGGGGATGAACTTCCAACGTTTCCTCTCGCCAGCGGGTCAACGCAGCTGTTGTCGCAAACGGTGCTCACAGGTGGGTCGGCAAGCAACGGACGCGGCGAGTACATGACACTCCTGCAGCAGGGCTTGGGAGACGACGACGACRGGGGAGTTGATCTCCGGTTCGGGTTATGTTCTGGCGGCAGTAGGGAGCCGAGCCGCACGTTCATCATCGACGCCGATCCTTCACCACGTGGCGTTCAACAATCTGGTAGTCGCCATACAGAGCAGTCCAGTCTTCGTGGCGGTGCGCCCGTTACTGACGGTGTCGGGCCATCTGCATTAGGCCGGCAGCATGGATCGAGTGCACCGTCGGCTGATCGATTGACAAGCACCTGTCCCGCACGCCATGTAGTCGCAGTCGAGTCCCTGCGCATCGGCGGTACACTTCATTCGACGCTCAAAACCACAACGCCGGCCCAACTCGACCTCAGGGACGACGGCATGTGCAGACCAGCGGTGCGTCCAGCACCCAGTGTGGAGAAAATCACACGAGAAGTGTCAAACATGAGGGCACACAGCGAAGGCGGCGACGACGATGGTGGTGGCGGTGACGACGCCGACGAACGATTCGGGGAGGACGTGGAGGCAGGGGACGACGATGACGACATTCTTATTCGGCCTTTGGGGAAGACGCGTGGGAGGGGGAGAGGACGCAGCAGGGGTGCTGTTCGTGGTCGATCCGTTGGCCGTGGGGGCAGAGGTGGCGTCAACGACGACGGCGGGAAGTCTGCGACGTACTGGTCCCCGAAAGAGCAAATGCAACTAGTGAGATGCAAGCGGGAGCAAGAGATGCACCTCGCCGGTCTCGGTCACAATTACGGGCGGATGTGGACCAAGGAGTGGAAGTGGGACGACATTGCCAAGCGCATGGCGAATGCAGGGAGGCCTAAAGACGCGGAGGACTGCATGAAGAAGTGGGACAACATCTTCCAAAACTACAAGAAGGTATAGAGGTTTCAGAATGCGAGTGGCTAGCCAGATTTCTTCCGGCTTTCGAATGAAGAAAGGAAGGAGCACAACTTCAAGTTTCGGATGGAGAGGGCGCTGTACAACGAAATCCACGCAGGCATGGTGGGCAACCACACAATTTTCCCTCCCAACATCGCCGACACCGGTAGTCCGGACGGGGTGCAGCTGCCCAGGCGAGGAGCGGGTGATGGGGAGTCTGTTGGTAGTGAGGGCGCTGGTGAAGGCTTCCCTGAAGAACGTTCTACTACGAGGGACTCCGACAACAACGCAGCCAGCGGGGCTGGGGGCGGGAAGCGAAAAAATGTGCGTGGAGTCGATTGCTGATGTCATGGACCGCCATGGCGAACTAATGTCGTCGACGATCGAATCGTCTAGCAAACGGCAATGCAGCATATTCACGAGGCAATGCGACATACTTGAGCAGGAAGTTGCAGTCCAGAGAGCGCAGTACACGGCATCCGATGAGACGCAGAGGATGATGTGCCACGCGCTTATGGAGATCGCTGCAACCATCCGTGGTCGGTCGGCGATGTAGGGCGCATGGTGTGTGTGTGTGTGTGTGTGTTCTATATAATCCCATGACGTATCCGTCATGCCCTCCACCAACGCGGTTCTACGCCAGGTCCGGTCATGTCCCAACAGTACCATTTCCATAGCCACCAAAACTCGATGTACCATAATGCGGAATTGACAGGATGGCAACAGTGCCCACACTAATTGATTACTTTATTCCAACCAAGCAATTAAAGCAATCAAACTGTTGAATAAGATAGCCAGGGAATTGATCAGGAGCCATAGGCCAGGGTTCATAATTCGTTCAGGATGTGGAGGGGAAGACATACAACTCAGAGTATGGGGAGACCCAAAATTTTGTAGCGTAGAATGGTAATTATCAGTACGATTACAGTCGTATATCAGGGTAATGGTTTCATTAGGTACATCCATTGAGAGGTAAGATACGAGGCTTCTGGAGTGTGAAATTGATAATCAACGGAGGAACCAACCAATTCGTGATCATATAAAAGTAATCATTACGTGTCCAGGGATGTTAGATAGGATCATCACGCAGGGGTTTGATCGGGGGTGAGATACAATGCATAGGGAAGAGAGGTAGCTGAGAGAGCATACATATGGAAAACCAAGCCGGGGAACATTTCATCATTAATTAGAGCGGGGGGAAGGGAGAATGGATGTTTTTTTCGGGATAATCGAGAACTAAATAGAGAAATGCAACAGAATCAGGGTAATCGATGAAAGACAGAAAAAAAAAAAAAAAAAAAAAAAAAAAAAAAAAAAAAAAAAAAAAAAAAAAAAAAAAAAAAAA